CAACAACATCAGTAGCACAACATCAGTAGCACAACATCAGTAGCACAACATCAGCAGCAGCACAACAACATCAGCACAACAACATCAGTAGCACATCATCAGTAGCACAACAACATCAGCAGCACAACAACATCAGTAGCACAACAACATCAGTAGCACAACAACATCAGTAGCACAACATCAGTAGCACAACAACATCAGCACAACATCAGTAGCACAACAACATCAGTAGCACAACATCAGTAGCACAACAACATCAGTAGCACAACAACATCAGTAGCACAATATCAGCAGCACAACATCAGTAGCACAACAACATCAGCAGCACAACAACATCAGTAGCACAACAACATCAGTAGCACAACAACATCAGTAGCACAACAACATCAGCAGCACAACATCAGTAGCACAACAACATCAGTAGCACAACAACATCAGCAGCACAACATCAGTAGCACAACAACATCAGTAGCACAACATCAGTAGCACAACAACATCAGCAGCACAACAACATCAGCAGCACAACATCAGTAGCACAACAACATCAGTAGCACAACAACATCAGTAGCACAACAACATCAGCAGCACAACAACATCAGCAGCACAACATCAGTAGCACAACAACATCAGTAGCACAACAACATCAGTAGCACAACAACATCAGTAGCCCAACATCAGCAGCACAACATCAGTACCACAACAACATCAGCAGCACAACATCAGTAGCACAACAACATCAGTAGCACAACAACATCAGTAGCACAACAACATCAGTAGCCCCACATCAGCAGCACAACATCAGTACCACAACAACATCAGCAGCACAACATCAGTACCACAACAACATCAGCAGCACAACATCAGTACCACAACAACATCAGCAGCACAACATCAGTACCACAACAACATCAATAGCACAACATCAGCAGCACAACAACATCAGTACCACAACATCAGTAGCACAACAACATCAGTACCACAACAACATCAGTACCACAACAACATCAGTAGCACAACATCAGTACCACAACAACATCAATAGCACAACATCAGTACCACAACAACATCAGCAGCACAACATCAGTAGCACAACAACATCAGTAGCACAACATCAGTACCACAACAACATCAATAGCACAACATCAGCAGCACAACAACATCAGTAGCACAACATCAGCAGCACAACATCAGTAGCACAACAACATCAGTAGCACATCATCAGTAGCACAACAGCATCAGCAGCACAACAACATCAGCACAACATCATCAGCAGCACATCATCAGTAGCACAACAGCATCAGTAGCACAACAACATCAGTAGCACAACAACATCAGTAGCACAACAACATCAGCAGCACAACATCAGCAGCACAACAACATCAGTAGCACAACAACATCAGCAGCACATCATCAGTAGCACAACAGCATCAGTAGCACAACAACATCAGCAGCACAACAGCATCAGTAGCACAACAACATCAGTAGCACAACAACATCAGCACAACATCATCAGCAGCACATCATCAGTAGCACAACAGCATCAGTAGCACAACAACATCAGTAGCACAACAACATCAGTAGCACAACAACATCAGCAGCACAACAGCATCAGCAGCACAACAACATCAGTAGCACAACAACATCAGTAGCACAACAACATCAGCAGCACAACAGCATCAGCAGCACAACATCAGTAGCACAACAACATCAGCAGCACAACAGCATCAGTAGCACAACAACATCAGCAGCACAACAGCATCAGTAGCACAACAACATCAGCAGCACAACAACATCAGCACAACATCATCAGCAGCACAACAGCATCAGTAGCACAACAACATCAGCAGCACAACAACATCAGCAGCACAACATCATCAGCAGCACAACAGCATCAGTAGCACAACAACATCAGCAGCACAACAGCATCAGTAGCACAACAACATCAGTAGCACAACAACATCAGCAGCACAACAGCATCAGTAGCACAACAACATCAGCAGCACAACAACATCAGCAGCACAACAACATCAGTAGCACAACAACATCAGTAGCACAACAACATCAGTAGCACAACAGCATCAGTAGCACAACAACATCAGCAGCACAACATCAGCAGCACAACATCAGTAGCACAACAGCATCAGCAGCACAATATCATCAGCAGCACAATATCAGTAGCACAACAACATCAGTAGCACATCATAAGTAGCACAACAACATCAGCAGCACATCATCAGTAGCACAACAACATCAGCAGCACATCATCAGTAGCACAACAGCATCAGCAGCACAATATCAGTAGCACAACACCATCAGCAGCACATCATCAGTAGCACAACAGCATCAGCAGCACAACATCATCAGCAGCACAATATCAGTAGCACAACAACATCAGTAGCACAACAACATCAGTAGCACAACATCATCAGTAGCACAACAACATCAGTAGCACAACATCATCAGTAGCACAACAACATCAGTAGCACAACATCAGTAGCACAACAACATCAGTAGCACAACAACATCAGCAGCACAACATCAGTAGCACAACAACATCAGCAGCACAACAACATCAGCAGCACAACAATATCAGTAGCACAACAACATCAGCAGCACAACAACATCAGTAGCTCAACAACATCAGTAGCACAACAGCATCAGTAGCACAACAACATCAGTAGCACAACAACATCAGTAGCACAACAACATCAGCAGCACAACATCAGTAGCACAACAACATCAGTAGCACAACAACATCAGTAGCACAACAACATCAGCAGCACAACATCAGTAGCACAACAACATCAGCAGCACAACAACATCAGTAGCTCAACAACATCAGTAGCACAACAGCATCAGTAGCACAACAACATCAGTAGCACAACAACATCAGTAGCACAACAACATCAGTAGCTCAACAACATCAGCAGCACAACAACATCAGTAGCTCAACAACATCAGCAGCACAACAACATCAGTAGCACAACAACATCAGTAGCACAACAACATCAGCAGCACAACATCAGCAGCACAACAACATCAGTAGCTCAACAACATCAGCAGCACAACAACATCAGTAGCTCAACAACATCAGCAGCACAACAACATCAGTAGCTCAACAACATCAGCAGCACAACAACATCAGTAGCACAACAACATCAGTAGCTCAACAACATCAGCAGCACAACAACATCAGCAGCACAACAGCATCAGTAGCACAACAACATCAGTAGCACAACAACATCAGTAGCACAACAACATCAGCAGCACAACATCAGTAGCACAACAACATCAGCAGCACAACAACATCAGCAGCACAACAATATCAGTAGCACAACAACATCAGTAGCACAACAACATCAGCAGCACAACAACATCAGCAGCACAACAATATCAGCAGCACAACAACATCAGCAGCACAACAATATCAGTAGCACAACAACATCAGCAGCACAACATCAGTAGCACAACAACATCAGCAGCACAACAACATCAGTAGCTCAACAACATCAGTAGCACAACAGCATCAGTAGCACAACAACATCAGTAGCACAACAACATCAGCAGCACAACAACATCACAGCACAACAATATCAGTAGCACAACAACATCAGCAGCACAACAACATCAGCAGCACAACAACATCAGTAGAGCAACAACATCAGTAGCACAACAGCAGCACAACAACATCAGTAGCTCAACAACATCAGTAGCACAACAACATCAGTAGAGCAACAACATCAGTAGCACAACAGCAGCACAACAACATCAGTAGCTCAACAACATCAGTAGCACAACAACATCAGCAGCACAACAACATCAGTAGAGCAACAACATCAGTAGCACAACAGCAGCACAACAACATCAGTAGCACAACAACATCAGTAGCACAACAACATCAGCAGCACAACAACATCAGCAGCACAACAACATCAGCAGCACAACAATATCAGTAGCACAACAACATCAGCAGCACAACATCAGTAGCACAACAACATCAGTAGCACAACAACATCAGCAGCACAACAATATCAGTAGCACAACAACATCAGCAGCACAACAACATCAGTAGCACAACAACATCAGTAGCACAACAACATCAGTAGAGCAACAACATCAGTAGCACAACAGCAGCACAACAACATCAGTAGCACAACAACATCAGTAGCACAACAACATCAGTAGCACAACAACATCAGTAGCACAACAACATCAGTAGCACAACAACATCAGCAGCACAACATCAGTAGCACAACAACATCAGTAGCACAACAACATCAGCAGCACAACAATATCAGTAGCACAACAACATCAGTAGCACAACAACATCAGCAGCACAACAACATCAGCAGCACAACAACATCAGCAGCACAACAACATCAGTAGCACAACAACATCAGCAGCACAACAACATCAGCGCACAACAACATCAGCAGCACAACAACATCAGTAGCACAACAACATCAGTAGCACAACAACATCAGCAGCACAACAACATCAGCAGCACAACAACATCAGCAGCACAACAACATCAGCAGCACAACAACATCAGTAGCACAACAACATCAGCAGCACAACAATATCAGTAGCACAACAACATCAGCAGCACAACAACATCAGTAGCACAACAACATCAGTAGCACAACAACATCAGCAGCACAACAACATCAGCAGCACAACAACATCAGCAGCACAACAACATCAGCAGCACAACAACATCAGTAGCACAACAACATCAGCAGCACAACAACATCAGTAGCACAACAACATCAGCAGCACAACAACATAAGCAGCAGAACAACATCAGCAGCACAACAACATCAGCAGCACAACAACATCAGTAGCACAACAACATCAGCAGCACAACAACATCAGTAGCACAACAACATCAGCAGCACAACAACATCAGTAGCACAACAACATCAGCAGCACAACATCAGTAGCACAACAACATCAGCAGCACAACAACATCAGTAGCACAACAACATCAGCAGCACAACAACATCAGCAGCACAACAACATAAGCAGCAGAACAACATCAGCAGCACAACAACATAAGCAGCAGAACAACATCAGCAGCACAACAACATCAGCACAACAACATCAGTAGCACAACAACAACATCAGCAGCACAACAACATCAGCAGCGCAACAACATCAGCAGCACAACAACATCAGCAGCACAACAGCATCAGTAGCACGACACAAGCAGCAGCACGACAGCATCAGTAGCACAACAGCATCAGCAGCACAACACAAGCAGCAGCACAACAGCATCAGCAGCACAACAGCATCAGCAGCACAACACAAGCAGCAGCACAACAGCATCATCAGCACTACACAAGCAGCAGCACGACAGCATCAGCAGCACAACACAAGCAGCAGCATCTGACACTCATGTATATCTCTGGCATCTTATTATCTCAAGGTATTACAATAGTTATTGATTTCTTATGTTTTAATCCCTTTCTGTGGGGTCCTTGATGTTGATGAACGGTTCTTGATGCTAGTACTCACCTAGTTGAGGTTGCAGGGGTCGAGTCCTAGCTCCTGGCCCCTCCTCTTCACTGAAGGGTTCTTGATGCCAGTGAAGGGTTCTTGATGTTATTGAAGGGTTCTTGATGCTATTGAAGAATTCTTGATGTTGAAGGGTTCCTGATGCTAGTGAAGGGCTCCTGATGCTAGTGAATGGTTCTTGATGCTAGTGAAGGGTTCTTGATGTTAGTGAAGGATTCTTGATGGCAGGGAAGGGTTCTTGATGTTAGTGAAGCGTTCTTGATGTTTGTGAAGGGTTCTTGATGACAGTGAAGGGTTCCTGATGTTAGTGAAGGGTTCTTGATGTTAGTGAAGGGTTCTTGATGTTAGTGAAGGGTTCTTGATGACAGTGAAGGGTTCCAGATGTTAGTGAAGGGTTCTTGATGTTAGTGAAGAGTTCTTGATGTTAGTGAAGGGTTCTTGATGCTAGTGAAGGGTTCTTGATGTTGAAGGGTTCTTGATGAAAGTTAAGGGTTCTTGATGAAAGTTAAGGGTTCTTGATGTTAGTGAATGATTCCTGATGCTAGTGAAGGGTTCTTGATGTTAGTGATGGGTTCTTGGTGCTAGTGAACGGTTCTTGATGCTAGTGAAGGGTTCTTGATGTTAGTGAAGGGTTCCTGATGCTAGTGAAGGGTTCTTGATGGCAGTGAAGAGTTCCTGATGTTAGTGAAAAGTTCTTGAAGTTACTGAAGGGTTCTTGATGCTAGTGAAAGGTTCTTGATGGCAGTGAAGAGTTCCCGATGTTAGTGAAGGGTTCTTGATGCTAGTGAAGGGTTCTTGATGCTAGTGAAGGGTTCTTGATGTTAGTGAAGGATTCTTGATGTTAGTGAAGGGTTCTGATGTTAGTGAAGTGTTCTTGATGCTAGTGAAGGGTTCTTGATGCTAGTGAAGGGTTTTTGGCGTTAGTGAAGGGTTCTTGATGTTAGTGAAGGGTTCTTGATGTTAGTGAAGGGTTCTTGATGCTAGTGAAAGGTTCCTGATGTTGGTGAAGGGTTCCTGATGCTGGTGAAGGGTTCTTGATGCTAGTGAAGGGTTCCTGATGCTAGTGAAGGGTTCTTGATGTTAGTGAAGGGTTCTTGATGCTAGTGAAGGGTTCTTGATGCTAGTGAAGGGTTCTTGATGCTAGTGAAGGGTTCTTGATGTTAGTGAAGGATTCTTGATGTTAGTGAAGGGTTCTTGATGCTAGTGAAGGGTTCTTGATGCTAGTGAAGGGTTCTTGATGTTAGTGAAGGGTTCTTGATGGTAGTGAAGGGTTCTTGATGTTAGTGAAGGGTTCCTGATGCTAGTGAAGAGTTCCTGATGCTAGTGAATGGTTCTTGATGCTAGTGAAGGGTTCTTGATGTTAGAAGGGTTCCTGATGCTAGTGAAGGGTTCTTGATGCTAGTGAATGGTTCTTGATGCTAGTGAAGGGTTCCTGATGCTAGTGAAGGGTTCCTGTTGTTAGTGAAGGGTTCCTGATGCTAGTGAAGGGTTCCTGTTGCTAATGAAGGGTTCCTGATGCTAGTGAAGGGTTCTTGATGCTATTGAAGGGTTCCTGATGCTAGTGAAGGGTTCTTGATGCTAATGAAGGGTTCCTGATGCTAGTGAAGGGTTCTTGATGCTAGTGAAGGGTTCCTGATGCTAGTGAAGGGTTCCTGATGCTAGTGAAAGTTTCTTGATATTGGTGAAGGGTTCTTGATGCCAGTGAAAGGTTCTTGATGTTGGTAAGGAGTTCTTGATGCTAGTGAAAGGTTCCTGATGTTGGTGAATGGTTCTTGATGTCAGTGTGAATAAAAGTTCTTTAACCCTTAAACTGCCCAAACGTATATCTATGTGCATATGCGTAGCGCTCCGACCTTGATTTTCCCCGTTTGAAAGCTTGTAAAAAAAAACGTAGATCTACGTTCGGAGCCCGCCGCACGTGAACGTAGATGTACGTTTGGACAGTTTAAGGGTTAAGTGAATAAAAAAAGTCAAAATGGATTTCTTCTGTAAATCCTGGAAATATAACTAATAAACAGAGGAAATGTTATTTTAGTGGTAGGAATGTCTGCATTGTATATTCTGGACCCTATTTTGAAATTGGAATATTTTGAACTTTGTATGAAATTGGCCAAATTACCAATTTCTGATCACTTTTTTGGGTAGTTGAAATAGTTGATTATAATAATAATAATTTTTATTTTAGCATGATAGTATGTACATGTTTGTACAAAAGAGTATAACAATTGGGTGAACATGCCAAAAGCTCCTTTTTATGCAGAGCATTTTGGGCAAACTTAAGACTAACTTAAGATTAATAAGGCAATAACAGTGTAAAATTGCACATATGATCATTAGGTGAGTTACAATGAAGACAAGAAAATTGATTATTCTATTAGTTCATGTTATATGACTTTAATAAGTTTGGTAGAGAAGAATCAGTTTTAATTATTAACCTAAGGTGGACAAAATGGAATAATTAACATTACATTTGAGATGATTACACATATTGAGAGTAAGCATATAGTGATTATAATGATTTACCTATGTTCATGATATTGAGCAAATGCACGTGTAGGATTTTTTACGTATTTATTTATGATGGGCTAGGATGGGTTATGGACAAAAGGTGTTTTCTAACTTTAGGTTTAAAAATGCTAGCTGAGTCAATGGTTCTGGAGATTTCTGGCAGAGAGTTACAGATTTTGAGTCCTTTTATGTACATTGAGTTTTTGAAATGATTTAACCTGACACGGGGAATGTCATAGAAATTTTTGCGTAGTATTGTGTACGTGGGTCCTATGGCAACTGTCAAGAAAGCGCTTCAGGTCATGATTTATACATGTATTGGAAATGATTGTTCTGTAAATGTAGTTTGCACAGTAGTTCGAGTGGATGTTTTATATAGTGTTTAGGTTTAGGTCTTTGAAAAGTGTGGAGGGGGGGTTGTCTAGCTGTGGATTGTGTGATCATTCACACTGCAGCTCTTTGTTGGGTTATTATTGGCTTTAGGTGATTTGTCACTGTGGAGCCCCAGACACAGATTGCGTAGATGAGGTAAGAGTAGATCAGTGAATAGTACAGTGTAAGTAGTGCTGCTTGTGGTACATAGTACCACAACATAGTAGTACATAGTACTACAACTTTTTTGGATACTTCTTTTGCTATGTGTTGGATATGGGTGTTGAATTTCAGGTTACTGTCAAAGTGCAGGCCCAGGAATTTTCCCTCATTATGTTTAGCAATAAGGGTGTTAATCATAATGTTTAACCCATTAACTGTCCAAACGTAGATCTACGTTTGCTCGCGTAGCGCTCCGAACATAGATCTACGTTTTTTTTACATGATTTCAAATGGAAAAAATCAAGGTCGGAGCGCTACGTGTGCGAATGTAGATCCACGTTTGGACAATTAACGGGTTAATTGGACCTCACTTTCTCTACTCCCAAACATAATATAAAAGGTTTTGTGTATATTCAGTATAAGTTTATTGACAGTCATCCAAGTTGCTGTTTTGCAAGCTCTTCATTTTCAGTAGTATTGAGTAAGGCTAGATTAGTGTGAGAGATGACAAAAATCATGTCGTCAGCAAAGAGAATAGGCATAAGTTATTGAGATATGCTTAGAAGATCATTGATGTATAAAAGGAAAAGGAGGGGACCATGAACACTTCCCTGTGGTACACCAGTATCCCGGGGTCGTGTTGAGGAGGTTGTGTCTTTGATCGAGATGTATTGCTTTCTGTTAGTAAGGTATGACTTGATATATGCAAGTGCATGGCCTCTTATACCATAATGATCAAGCTTGAGGAGTAGGATGCTGTGGTCTACTGTATCAAACACTTTCGTAAGATCGATAAAGAGTCCAAGTGGGTATTCGTTTTTTTCAAGTGCTGTGTAAAGTAGGTCTTAGCATTTTTATTATTGCATCATTTGTGCTTTTGTTTCTCCTGAAGCCAAACTGGCAGGGGATGAGGATGCTTTGTGATGTTATGAAGGGGTATAATCTTTTGTGTATGACCTCGAAGATTTTGGAAAGTGAAGGCAAGTTTAATTTTGGCCTGTAATAGTTTACATCTGTTGGGTCACCACCTTTGTGTATTGGTGAAATCCTAGCTATTTTGAGTGATGCCAGGAATGTGTTGGTTTCTAGTGATTTGTTGAAAAGTAATGCAATGGTGGGTGAAAGGATTTGAGCCGCTCGTTTGTACAGTAGTGGTGGCACTTGGGTTACATTTCCTGATTTGTTTTTTAGAGAGTTAATAATCAGGGTAACCTCAGTGGGCTCTGTTGGTGCAAGGTAGAGGGATGTTGGGAAGTTTCCATCTAGATAATCATTAGCTTGGGCATTGGTAATTGGAATTTTACTGGCAAGATTTGATCCTATGTTTGAGAAGAAGTCATTTATCTTATTAGCTGTATCAGTAGGCCAGAGTTTCAGTTCGTTTGGTTTGGTTAGTACAATTTTAATAGTTCTGTTTGGTCTGAGGGTGCCCAGGATCTCTGAGAAAGTGTTTTCCAGGTCTTTTTAATATCACCTCTCATTTCAGTGAATGTATTAGAATAGTATAGCTGCTTGGACTTTCGGATTAATTTAGTGAGGACTGACGTATAGTGTTTGATGAATTCTTCAGTTATTAAGCCCCTTCTATATTGTTTTTCATAATGATGTTTCATATTGGTGGATCTTAGGATGGTGTTAGTAAGCCATGGGCAACTTAGTCTTTTATTTGTGATCTGTATATAGTCTATGTATTTTGTTTAGAAATATGTCTACCCATTCATTGATACCAACAGCATTGGCTAATTCTGTAGGTCAGTTAACTGAGCTTAGCTCTGCTGTGAAGTTACTTATTGATGTCTCATCATGGAGTTGAAAAGAGAACTTAGTATATTCCATTGGTTGCTTACAAATGTTTTTTAGGAGGAAAGT